TTGTTTTAATGATCTGTAGGTCTGTAGTGTAGTGGTTAACACTCCACAAGTCAAATCACAAGATACCAGTTCAACCCCATATAAGGGTGGTTGAATAGAATTAATATGGTATCTGGCGCCATAACCTGTATAAGCGCTGTTTCTCATGAGAAGCCGTTTCACATGCTAATCCAGTGGACGTTGAGATTATGATTTCCAGAAAAAGGTGTCGTGGCATGACTATCGTCCAGTTGGTGCTACGATGATCACCAGAAGTTGTAAGGTGTATGAGGTGTCTGGTTTAGTACAAGATGGTTTGATGATCGCTTCTTATAATACCTGGTGTCTTTTCTGCAAAAGGTTACCTGAAAGTTCTATTCCAATCCAGTAAGAAGCCTACCCTGTATTACTTATCCCGAGAAGGCATTTAGTATTTCCAAGTAGTCGCAAGACTGCTGTAGGTTGTAAATCTATAGTTGTAAGTACCTTGAACGTCCCTGAGCCATAACAGAAAGGTAGGAATTAAATGGTTAAAGGCCAGCTGCAGGTGGTACAGAGCGGTAAGACTAACCTCGAGTAGGGTTTTATTTATCAAGAAAAGGTATTATCCCTAGTTTCCCACTTTCCCTTCCCCTTAAAACATACCCCCAAATAAAACCTAAAATAAGTGCTGTGATATTCTCACACTAGTAAAGTCTTGGCACACTAGTCTTGGTCCCTTTGCTATAGCCCAGGCTATAGTATAAACCAATAACTCAAAGCCGGCATGAGGGTAAAATCTCGATGTAGTTCGATATATAGATATGTTAGATATTATGGCAGTTAAGCATGTATTCAATATATGTAATTAATTTGCAAATCTCTTGAACAATAAAAGTATACCGAGCAAGGCTCCAGTTAGTGTATGGATTAATTATTTAATTAGTAAATAATTGGCAAATAATTAATGAATAACTAACTAGCAAATAATTATTTTAAATTTTAAATTTTTTACTAAATTATCAAGTATTAATTAAATTTTATCAAATATTATTATAAATGCAATTTTTTTATTGAAAATATATAATTTGATTTTACTGAAGTATATAATGTTAAATAATTTTGTCAATTTTATAGTTAAATAATAAAAATTTATTTTGAATACTATAATTTTTATTATAAAATGTTGTAACTTTATTGTTAAATATTTTTTAACTAGAAATATTTTTTGCCAAATAATTTTATTACCAAATAATTATTTTTTTATCAAATATTATATATTTTTTTGACTAAATTATTGTGTTTTTTTAAGTACTGAATGGCATAAATTAGACAATCAATAAAACTTCAGTATAAACTTTTATTAATAAATTTAAATTTAATCAGCTATAATTCAGCAATCAAATAATCCAATTTGAACTAGTATCCTTAAAAGTCTGATTTGTTTAGCACTATTTATAAGTAGTTTAAGTCTATTTTTAATATTATTATTGTTTTTTTTTATTATGTACCAGCATATTGTCTGGCTGGGAAGTCTGTTCTATAATAATATTTACATTTATTTAAGATATTATTATCTAAAACAATGCTATAATATATCAGTTGCTAGTAATATCCAACTTTTATCAAGATTGTTCTAGATAATGATGTTTGCTATAACTTGTTTTTAATTTATTTTAGATGTAAAAGTAAATCTATTGAATAAAGAAATCTCTTTATTTGATCAATAGTATGTATATTTACTGATATCATATTAAGCTTTATTTCTATTGGGAGAGATTAAAGAAAATTTTTGAAAAGAAGTATTGGAGGTAATATCTTATAATAAATAAAGCTATAAATTTCTATTTGTTTCATTAGGGATAAATCCTTTACTATCACTTGCAGTTGGACTAACTATTTAATTTCTTATCTATCCAAATAATATCCAAGAACATTTAAGATACTTATAATTGGTGTTTATTACCTGAATATTGACTTATATAACTTTACAAGGAATAGAACTTATTGTTAGATACTTTCTCAGGATAAGTACTATTAGACTGATTTATTACTGGATTGGGATAAGACTAGGGTAGGGATTTGTATGAATGATGTTAGATATTAGGGAAGTGATCATCAAATCTACTTGTCAAAAATGGATATCTCATATACTTTGCAACTTTTAGTAATTATCATAATATCAACCAGACGATTGTTGTATCATGACACTTTTTCTAAAAATCACAATTTCAACATTCATTGGATTAGCATGTGAAATAGCTTCTTATGAAAAACAGTACTTTTACAAATTATGATATCAGATACTATATTAATTCTATTCAATTGTCCTCATATGAAGTTAAACTAATATCTTGTAATTTGATCTATAGAGTATATTAATCACTACACTATGGATTCACAGGTCTATTTTTAGTATTATTTACAAATTAGTTTTAAATTTTTAATAAATACTTTAGATTCAGACCAGTTAATATAAGTTATTAAATCTAGAAGTATAAATATCAAGTAAAAAGCAAATCTTATATATTTTGTCTCATTATATGATTGTTAAATTTTTATATAAGTGATGTCGATTCAGTGTTCTATTTCAAGACTTCTTATTTAGGCAATTAATAAAAAAAGGAAATAGTAATTGGAATTAATTAATATGAAGTATAATTTAGTCTATATATTCAATATAACATTGTTTTTATTGTATAATAAATTGTAAAGTTTAATTAGAATTAAGTTAAAAAAATTTTTTTATATAATTTTTTTTTTTTTTTGTAATCTATTGCAACTTTATGACTATAGGAAAAGCCAGAAGTTCCATCTTTATGCAACCTAATTAAAAAGAAAATATGATAAATTTTTTGTAATTAGACAGGTTTAAATCTTAGATCTTTATTTAATAACTTATAAAGCTTTACTACTAAGCTATAGATTTATAGATTATATTTAAAGTTTATATTAATTAAATAATTATTTTTTAGTTAGATTAAATTTTTCAAAAAATTACATAATAATAATAAAATATAGCTAGCCAATTAATATGCAATACTCTTATATAAGAGTATATATAATATAAATATTCTTCAAAATTATATTCTTATTCCTTTATAAATTGTATCATTTTTATAAAATAATATTCTTTACAAAAGATTGTTTCTTTATAAAAGATTTTTTTATGGAAAGTTGATTATATTTTTTTTGTAACAAAAAATATTACAAGAGTTTTGATGTGGTAAAAGAATTGATTAAATATAAACATTAAAAAAAAATTATAAAAAATTATTGTTATTATAATATTATTTGTCTTATAATTTAATTCAAACCCAAACTAATTTAGCTTAATTTTTAAAATCAAGTCGAATTAAATCAGGACTTTAACAATTCTAAACTCACTGTAAATATATATAAGTAATATTATTTTTTTTCGAATGTATATCTTGCAATATACAACAAATAAAGAGATGATATTTACTTATATTAAAAAAAAAAAAATTATTTGATTGAATTTAGTTATATGATATTATATTAAATGTTATTATTACAAGAGATAAAAGTTATCAAGATTGATGATATACATTAAAAAAATTTTTTTAAAATAATAATTCAAAAATTTGTCTAGCCGATTAGAGGATAATTTTAAAATTAAAAAAATTAAAAATTAAATTTTATTTGATTTTTTTTTATAATTAGATATAAGTTAATTGTAGTCAGTATATATTTTTAATTGACTTTATAATTCATTTTTAAATTTTTAAAAAAAGATGATGTTTTGTCGAATCTTTTATACAATTAAATAAACTTGGAAATCTCAACTTATTGTATTAAAATAAAAAATCAACAATTTAACAATTTCTAATTGAAGCAGAGATGGAAAAGTTTTCATTAGATTTTGTGAAGAATCGGTCTATATACTACATGTGGATAAAAATTTTATTAGATGTCGTATACAGCTTGTAAATCAAGTCTAAGTAAAATTTTTCCATTCTGCTAAGTTTTCTAAATAAGTCATCAGTACGATTTATTATATACTCGGATATCCAATAATACTTTATAATTCTATTACTTATTAAAAATATTCTTTCTTGCATCAATTGGGTTTTAAGTGAGACTAAATGGATTTTTGGTGAATAGATGTGTCTAAATAAATGTCCGTCAAAAAAATAGTGCTTTTTTCAACGCTATATCCAAATCAACCCTTAGTAAATTTCCCCCAAATATGAAGAAGAAAAACAGATCCAATGAAAGCAAGTGAAAGAACGACAACCACAACCGGATCGCTGAGATTGGTTATTTAATTGCCCAAAGGTAAATATAACGAATAAGAATATGGTATGATATTGACAGCGTATACATTTGAAAACAACTTAAATAACATACACTTTTAATCCTGGTGCATCGTCAGTATACAATTTCATCATTGTAGAAGAGCTTCCACCAGATCGCGAAACATTTTTGTTGGTGGACGTGCGTTTCCTAATTACCGATGTTGATAAGAAATAAACGTTGGAATAAGTCTTGAAAAAGAGGGTTAATTTTTAATTAACCTTTGGAGGCTTTACCTGAGTGTACCTCTTGCGTTTGGTGCAACTTCCTGCAAGTTTTTAAAAAAAAAAGTTATTAATCCAGAAAATAAGGTTCGATCTTAAAAGTTAATGAATAAAAACTTGCCATTTTCAGTGTAGCGAATTTAAAAAGATGATAAAAATTTAGAGGAGAAAAAGTATTAGGAAGAAGATTTCGATAAGAGGTCGAGAAGAGTTCAACTATCAGAAATTGTTACGTCCTAGAAATTTATTGGTGTTTTTTTGAAAACAAAAAGAACCAATTGATGTATTCCACGTTATACACGTTATAAAACGTAATATTAATTAGTGTCCAGATTATGCATATTTTTTTGACAAAGGAGTACGAGAAATTTATTTTAAAAAATTAAAAATTTTAAATTTTAAAATTTTAACCAATTTTATTAAGTCACGATTCGGATTGTATTTTGAAATGATCAACCCGTTTTAATTATGTATTTCGACACGCATTAAATTTAGCCAAGAATGAAGTATGTTAACACTTTCTTTTCCATGTTTGCTTTTAGTGATTCTCTTTTTCCGTTACATTAAAGATTTCTTACTCACATACTTGTCCCAATGAATAATAAAGCGTAACCAAAGAAATTCAACGCATTAACAACCAGGAATTAAATCGGAATATATCAAGTTCGGGATCTTGGCACGAACAATATAAAGATTCATCATACATATTTATTGGAAATATTCCTTTCGACTTAACAGAGGGCGATATAATTTCGGTCTTCTCTCAGTAAGTTGTGAAGTTGTTTGCTCGTGTTTGTACGAGTATTTCTAAGCCTCGTTACAATTTTCGGATAGGTATGGAGAGGTTTTCGATATTCAGCTAGTTCGCGATAAAAAAACCGGTGCCTCAAAAGGATTTGCGTTTTTGAAATATGAAGATCAAAGGAGCACTATCTTGGCTGTCGATAATTTAAATAACATTAATGTAATAGGAGAATTTTTTCTTCACGGTTGTTTGTATCATTGATGATGCATGCGTTAAATTGTCATCACCTACACATTTCAGCTCTTAGGACGTACGATAAGGGTGGATCACGCATCAAACCAGACTAAGGATGGACAG